AGGGGCTGCCTGCAGAGCCCGGAGCTGAGAGGCAGCCCAGTGGGTGGGGGAACTTCCTCTTGCACTCCTGCAGGTGCTGCCCACCAGCCCATCCTGGTATATGGACCTGCCTGAGTAGTGGGTCAGCTCCTGCCAGGCTCACCGTGGAGCTGACAGAGGGCACAAACCTGGGCACAGCTTTGACACTTAACCGGGTGTGGGGGTGGTACACTACAGCACATTGAACCAAATAAGTGCTGTGTGAGGGGTTCCTGCTGCCCTGTGCTGCAGTCAGGAGGCCCCTGAGCCCTAGGGACCTGGGTGCCAGTTGCAGCTGGAAAGAGCAAGTAGTCAGTGTTCCAGGGGGACAGCCAGGCCTGGGGACACCTGAGGGGGCTTCCTGGCAGCAGTGTGGGTTTACAGCCATGGGGTGATGAGTCCAGGGAGTGAGGGGAGGGCCCGAGGAAGTGGAGTCAGTGGAAATAGGGTTGCAGACACATGCTAGTCATCTGGGAGGGAAATCTAGGGATTTCCCTAGTCGTCTAGGGAAAGTCTGAGACCCAGACCCATGATGTTCTTAGAGTTCCTGGGGGAATGGTTTGCAAAGGGGCAGGGGCCTCCCTGAGAGGAAACTGGGGTGCTATCAGGAGCAGGGAGTGAAGGCTGGAGCTACTTTATTGGCCTGTGGCCTTGGAACAGGGAGGTTGGGTGTGTACACCATGTGCACACAGGATGGGGCAGCTTTCTGCAGGGGCATCATGGATTTGGCTGTGGGGCACTGGACCCAATAACCCTCCCACCAGGACAGTGGCACTTGAGGTGCAGCTCAGCCTTGAGGTCTGAGAGCACCTCAGTCTAGGCCAGGCACTGGAGGAACCCAGAGCTCCCTGGGGTATATACGTGTGCACCTGCACATGTGTGTCCCTGTCTGAGCTCTCTTGCACTCCCAAGAGTTCGTGGGATGGCACTCATCAGGGTGAAACTGTCCAATGACATGTGAGCATGTGACTCCCCAGCTGCCGTGTACAACTGTTCAGGTTGTGCATTGCACAGCCCCAGGGCACCAGAGGTGGCATGTGCATTTGCCAAGTTTGCAGGCACCCAGCAGTTGAGGCTGCTGAGGGAGGGTATCTCTGCTCTATCTGCACAGAAGGTGGAGCCTCAGCAGGCTGGCGTGCATGCAGCACCTTAGGGCAGGTGTCAGTAGTGGGTGGGCATTGGTCATCTGGATGTGGGCAGAGGAGGCCTGCTGCAGAGTGCATGTGGGGCCCTTGGGCAGAGGAGGTGGTCCAGGGCCTCCGTATACCTTCCTGCCTGTGCGTGCTGGTGAGTGCTAGTCTGTGGCAGTCTTGGTGTGAGTCTGGAGACCCAGGGGACTTGCTTGCTGCTGGGAGTGAGGGGTGCCCAGGGCTCCTTGGTCGTCCCAGGCATGGGTGGATTCCTGTCCCCCACAGGGGGCAGGTTCCTGGGGGCACCTCTGGGTTCTACCTTTTGGTCCTCTTTTCAGCAGCATCTCCTGGACTGGCCATGCACTGCCCCATCCTAGGAGTGGTGGCCAAGTGGAACCACATGTTGCCTGTCTGCAGCTGAATGCGCTTGGCAGCTGGCCCAGAAGGCAGATGCTTCCTCCAGAGAAGGGTTGTGGGCCCTGCGGGGGAGCAGTCTTGGAGAGGGGCATCTTGTGGAGGGGTCAGGGGAGGATGTTTTCCATGGGCAAGCTGCCATGGCCTCTCTCTTACTGCCAGAAATCAAGGCCCCAGGACCTCCTGGGATGCCCAGTCTCAGGATCATGCCCAAACGTGCTAGTCTAAGGGAAGTGTCCTTTCCCACTTTCCGAGGGCCATGATCTCACCTTGCTAGACTGAGGGCAGTGCCTTTTTTCCACACTTCTACCAGTCTGGAGGTGGAGTCCTGGCCTGCCAGTCCAAGGGCACGTCCTGGTGGTGTGCCACCTTGCAAGAGCTGATTGTTGCATGTTCAGGAATTTCGCAAGCTGGTTGTTAAACTGTTGGTAGCTGAAAGCAGCCATGGTGTGAAACCGCAGGTGCCTGTTGGGCCCTCCCTCCTCCAGGGAGCCTCTGCAGTACTGTCCCTTGCTTTTTCCAATAGTTGAGACATGCCTCCTGCCTTTCAGAAGTGCCATCTTCTCCATGAAACCCTCTTTTCTGCTATTGTCCCTCCTGAGCACCTGTCACCATCTGCCAACCATATGCCAGCCTCCTCTTTGTAGGCTTCAGGAGGGCAGGGATTTGGGTCTTTTGTGTTCACTGCCCAGAACAGGGCTAGTTCACAGGCATTCAGTAAGTATTGGTGGGTGGATGGATGGGTGGGTGGGCTGGCTGATGAATGGGTGGGTAGATGGATGGATGGGTTGAGTGGGTGGTAGGTGAGTGGGTGGTTGGATGGATGAATGAGTGGGTGGATAGATGGTGGGTAGATGGCCCACAAGGCCCAGTGGTGGGCACCGGCACAGGGGATCCCCCTGCCCTCCCAGGGCAATCACATCATCCTCTGGCTTTGAATATGGACTTGAAGGCCCAGGGACTCTGGTCTTCTTTCCAGCTCTAGCTGAAAATGGAGACGTGGTATCCCTGGTCCCAGGTGTAGCTGGCCACTGAGCAGCTAGGAAGCCCAGGCAGGCCACATTATGGTCAGACCCCAGCTTGAGCTATTTGGAGTCTTGACCTGGGAGTAAAAGGAGGTGACCAGCCATCCCAGTGTCTCAAGGATTGGGGTGGTCTCCAGGACACAGGTCTCAGTTTATAGGATTTTCCAGGAATTTGAGCTTTCAGACCTAAAACCAGAGTCAGCTCCAGCCTGCCCCTCCTGAAGGGCACCAACAAAGAGTCAGGATAAGGTGTCCCACCTGGGGCCCAGCTCAGAGAATATAGCTTGTATGAGTGTGTGAAGTGGAAGGTAGTGTCCTCTCTCCACATTTCATCTGTGTGAGTTGTAGTTCAGCCCCTGCTTCCCTTAACTTCTTACTGGGGGGTCTTTGCACAGTGAGCAACCTGCACAACTGCACATGGCAGCCCTGCCTGCACTGGGCCTTTCCAGTCCTGGCAGTGTCCCTGGGTCCAGTCTTCCTCTCCTCAGGGAGGGAATCTGACCTGAGCTACTGTACCCGAGCAGTGAGTGTGGGGCTCATGGGGATAATTAGTAATAATCAGTGTCATGGACTTCAACTGGAGCCACACCAGAGCCCCCAGAGAGCCTGAAGGCATATGGTTCAAATCGCAAATTGAGCAAGACTGGGATGAGGGGAGTGGTGAAATGTGCATTTGCATTCTTAACAAGCTTCTGCCTGGTGCTGCTGATGCTAACCCAGGGACCCCATTTTGAGAGCCACTGAACTGGGGCTCCCTCCAGCAAGGCAGCAAGGCCCCAGGCTCCAATATATTCTCCACATTTGGAGAGACCTGTCTTGGGGCCCTGAGGTGGAAAGGCCTGTCTCCACACGGCAGGTAGAGCCCAGCTAGTGACACCTTGTGGCTTCTCATTGCCAGCCCTGTGCTCAGCAGACAGAACCTTCATCTTATCCCATTGGCATGTGAGGGGGGTGCTTAGTCAGCATCCCCATTTCACAGGTGAGGAAACTGAGGCTTGGGGCCAGTCAGAAGAGGCACCACTGGCCCAGAGTCTGTGCATTTACCACTCACTCTGCTGAGCAGGATGGCATGGGTTGTGGGAGCCTCCTGCTGGGTGGACCAGGCTGTCCTGGGCCTGCTGTAGACAGGAAAGGTATGCTGAAGCCTGGGCTTCCCCGGGCCTCACCTGGGCCCCAGGCTGTGGAATGACACTGCTTGTCATGTCATATACACTCTGCCGCCCACACAACCTGTGGCTTCAGGAGCTACACTCCCATCTCAGGTCCTGGGGTAGACTTGGGGAGCAGAGGCTCGGATGCGCTGCCTCAAGAGGGACTACTGAGTCTGCCATGAGGGAGTGCCCCAGGGGCCTGGGAATATTCTGGAGCACAGCCAGTGCATCTTGCTGACCTCTCCTAACCTTTGGTCCCAGGCAGGGTCTCTAGGCTGTGCTACCAGCAAAACAGCTAGGTGTGAGGGACTGAGGCACATTCTGAGCACAATGCCAGGCCACAAGGCCATGTGGAGCAGAGGCTGGCAGTGTCCCACCATTGTCCCACAGGGGCATTAGCAGTGTCTGGGGCAAAGGTCACCAGGGACTGGGCAGTGGGCTGGCCAAGAACCAAGCCCTCAGTATGCTCTGAGCAGACAAACAGATAAAGCTGCCAGAATGTTCCAGAGCAGGGAGTCTGGAGAGATGGAAGTGGTGGAACAGCGGGCCCCAGTGATCCTGAGAAGAGAGGCCAGGAGGTGACTGGAAGCCAGTGGGACCTGGACTCGAGAATGGGTGGTTCAGGGTGGGGGACTCCCTGGGTGTAGACGGATGGGTCAGTGTCTGGGGCTGGGACATCGTCTTTTCCCTGTATTTGGTAAGGTTTGATGTTATTTCCAAGTAAAATACAGGAGCAGGATTCTGAGATGCAACTGCATTGCCACTTACCGCATCTGTGCACAGTGTCTAATCAGGGCAGCCAAGTCTTTGGTGCCAACGGCAACATGCAGGCATCAGTGCTGGTTCTGCACACAGAGCTGAGGCCCAGAGAGGCTCAGCATGTCCCCTATCACCCAGTGGAAAGTGGCCTGGCCTGGCTTGACTGCCTGCTGTGGGACATGATATGCATTTGGGGGCTGGGCCACCATCCTCCCTGGTGTCCTGGACTAGAACCGGCGGCCACAGGCCTGCTTCCCACGTGAGTGTCCACCCTCTGCCAGGTCAGAGGGCAGGCAGAGCTAAGGGCAGCTTCATGACATTATGTGTGGTCCATGCTACTCTGGGTTTTGAGTGGTCAGCTCTGCAGAGCCCTGCCCCTTCCCAGGCTTCAGCACCCAGCCCAGGGCTCAGGCTGGGTGAGGAACCTGACCCCAATGTGGCCCCTCAGGCAGGGCAGCAAAGCAAGGTCAGGTCTCTGCTGATCCATCTCTCCCTGTCCTCAGATGAAGGTTGCAGTGTCCAGAGGGGGCTCCCACAACAGTGATGAGGACAGCTGCCCCGAAGCCACCAGCTCACGCAGGAGCAGTTCTCGGGACCAGCTCAGTGATGTGAGTACCCGGCCTGGCTGAGTACTCGGGGTGTCCTGCTCCTTGAGCTGCCAGCCGGGCCAGCCCCAGCCTTCAACAGACACTGCCCTATTGGCTTAGGACCCATGAGTCTCCCAAGGGCTTTGTTTGCAATTAGCATTTTGTCTTCATTAAAACATGCTTTTTTGTGAATTGGGACTTCCCCATTAGGATGGACTTAAATTCAGGGCAGTGTCAGGAGACCGAGCTGGGGTGCAGACCCTCTGTCCAGCTGGGGCAGGGGCAGGAGCAGGCAGGACTGTGTGGGAAAGGCAGCAGGAAGTATTCTGGGGGCAGGCAGGGCTGGGATGGCAGGTAACCCCTGCCCCCAGGTGGCTTGTGGGCTCAGGCAGACTGTGGGTATTGGGTGTCTGGATGCCCCATAGACATGAGAGTACCCTTCTGAAGCACACGCTGGCTTGAGTGGGCACTCTCTCAGGTGCCTGAGCTCAGTTTCTGGGGACAGGAGGGCCTCTGGCCCAGTGTGGGGAGAACCCTGGAGACATGCAGGTCTCCACCTTGGGATCTGGGCACAATGGGAGAGTTGAGTGGCCCCCAGGGCTCCTGAGTGTCTCCTACCACTGGGGGTTTCAGGGCCCAGAACTAGGAGGAGGGTATGAGTTGGGTGCTTCAAGGGCTAGGATTGGGGGCAGTAAGACACCAGGGGAAGGGGTCAAAGGAGGGGCCCAGGAGGAAGGCAGGGCCAGGGGTGGGGCTGGGGTGGGGCTCCCAGGGGAAGGCATGACTGGGAGAGGCCTTTGTCTTCTGACCCCATCTGCTGTGGCAGTATAGCCGGGATGGATTTTCTGCGAGACATCATTGAATGAGTTGTCTCTTTATCATTTAAATAGGGGCCTGGGGGAGCGGCCAGTGGGCGTGGAGGCTGGGAGGTGGGCCTAATTGCCTGGCTCCGATCTTGTTGCCACAAGATGGGAAAATAGGCTGGTAATTGTCTGGGGCCGCGGGGGCTGCCCTGGTTGGAACTCTAATTGCCAGCAGGATGAATGAAGACAGATTCTGAACACAGCATGGGCGGCCTTGAGGGCCCATGCTTGAGGACAGCTATGGCACCCCACCCCTATCAGCGTGCCTGGGGGCTCACCAGGGTGAGCTCTGCCTGGCAGTGACCCCAGATGCTGGCCTGGGCCTGGCAGGCCCCAGCCGCGGCTGTGCAAGGGTGCTGTGTGCAGAGCGGGATCCAGTAGGCAGGGCCCCCTCACTCTGCAGTCACCCTCCCTCGCAGAAGAGTTTCCCTCTGAACCTTTGCTCTCACCGACTTGCCATGATCCCCCACCCCCACTTCACCCTGCCCCAACTCACACATCTGACATCTGAGGCCCAGAGGCTACCAACCAGCTCCTCTAGGAAGCCTTCCTGAGGTCCCCTGTGGACCCCGTGACCCTGGGAGGGCACCGTGCAGGCCAGCCTCCCCTCTTCCTGCAACCCCCAAGTACCTCAGCAAAGGCTGGGAATGGTCTGACAGGCCTATCATGGGGTCACAGCATCTGCTCCAGGAACTGGTGCTCTGGCTGCACCCGTCTGGGGCTGAGCTGAGGAGTCGTCATCTGGGGGGAGATGGTAGCCTCTGGACTGGGCTGTCACTAACTATCCTTCCCTCCCACCCCCACCCCACAGAGCTCAACGCAGGCGGTTTCGGGCAGAGGCTACTCCGTAAGTCCCCCGCGTGCCCATCCCTCCGGAACCCCACCTGTCCTGAACCTCAAGGTGGTCCTGGCCCCACAGCAGCGGGTTTTGGGGGTTGTACCGGGCTGGGGATAGGGTCCAAGGGGGCTGAGACTCAGAGGGAACGTCACACCCAGGGTCCTGCCCTCAGGGGCAGGCTACTCTGCTGCCCTGGCCCCCCCTCAACACCCTGCTGCATCCAGCCAGAGAGGCCTGATGTTCAGGCATGAGGCCCCTGGCTCCTAGCACCTGCAAGGCAGCCTGACACTGCCACTGTGCAGAGCCCCTCCCTGTCCCCCAGTCCCAGGGGAGCAGCCCTGCCCCCTCCTCACAACTTTATTTCATTTCCCCTTAAGTATCAGGAGGAACATTAATGACACTGTAAAACCCAGAGCTCTATAAAAGCCATTTCTGCAGATTTACAGCCGTTTCAGCTCATTGGAGGGTGGGGGCCTGGGCTCCGCCCGCCTCATCCCTGGAGCCCCTGATTTACTGCAGTTCCAAGTTCCAGGGCCTGACTGCTGGTTCTCTAAATCACAGAGCTTTTTATAGGGTGTGTAATTAACCCATTAATTCCCCAGTGGCGGTGGCAGGGACAACCCTGACTGGATCCCTGGCCTACCCCCAACTCCCAGCTTCCCTGACACCTCGGGTGCCCAGCCCAGGGAGCTCAGTATTCAAGCCATTGACCTCAGGACTGTACACTTGTGGGGAGTCTTCCCTGGTGACCTCTGCACTTCTCGGGTAGCTTTGGTGTTCTTATCCATGGGCCTGGGTGGTCCCACCACACCAACTGTGTCAACTGGCATTGACTGCGTTGACCCTGGCAGTGCTATAACCAGCTTCAGCTAGAACAGATCCAGCAAGCCTGCAGCTCAGGAGGGCCAGGATGGTGATGGGAGGGGCCCAGAACACCCACATGTGGGTGGGGCAAGGGGCTCTGCCAGCCCAGGGATGCCCCACTTGGAGCTTCCTGCCTCTGAGACTTCAAGGCACCTGGGCACTCCCCACCCCAAGCCGCCTCACCAGAGCCATTGGGCAGCCCTTGTGCTCTCAGATTGCTGTGCATCACCCATGGGCTTCTCCCCAAAACTCTGCTTTTTGAATGTTTCCTGGAGAAGAACCTGTAATTACTGTGCTAGCTGCTTGCAGCTTAACTCCTCATGGCCTTTGCTCAGAGGGTGGCAGATGGCAGCAGGGAAGGCTCCCAGCCTGCTATCTGGGCCGTGGGGGCTCAGGAACAAAAGACATCTGCAGAGAGCCCTGTGTGTGTCCTGGCCCCTGTCAGTTGGCATGGGGGTGCATATGGAAGCCTGGCCCTCAGAAACAAAGCCAGGTAGAGGTGCCTGGTGACCCCTGCCCAGCAGGAGGAGGGGTGGGCTGGTCCTGGGGACAGGCAGGTGGCTGCAGGCCTGGAGAAAGCTGTGGCTCAGCACCCACCTCTGCATCACCAGCCTGGGGCTGCCCCGCTGTCAGCACTGGGATCCCACTGTAGACCAGGAGCCCAGACACCAGCGCACACACTTAGGCTGGGGCCAAGGGTGTATGTGTTCTGTGTTTGCATGTGTGCATGTCCTAGAGGGTGGGTCTGTGTGGCTCCTGCACGCAAGTGCCCATGTGCAGCTGTATGTGGCTCTATAAGAGGTGAACATTGTGTGTGTACTCATGTGTTGGCTAAGATGTCTGTCACAAGTGTGTGCCTGTGAGGCCGTGTCTCCACATGGTTGTGGTGGGGCTCTGCACCCTGCACATGCAAGTGTCATGTGTTTCTGGGCCCCCATGTGAATCCACCTTCAGATGCCTGTGTGTCTCTAGCAAATGTACATGCACGCGTAGGTGCATGCCATGCATGTATCTGCATGTGAGCATCTAGAAGCCTGTCTGGACATGGCACAGGTGTCTGTGTGTGTGCCTCTGCATGTGCGACTTGTGGCTGCCTGCATGTCTGCGGTCGGGATGTTGGGCTGCCTCCCCTTCCCCAACAATGTCTGGAGCCAGTGCTCGGGCACTTGTCATCTGACCTGGTTTGTAGGCCGTACCTAAGGGGCTTTAATTTGCTGAGATTTATCCCCAGCATATCTCTAATTAGCTCCTCCTCAACAGCTTCTGTCCTGAAAACTCAATGTGGCTACCCTGTCGCACTATAAAATTAGTTAGAAAGTAATTTTCGTAATTTGGCTGTTTGCAACCAAGGACAGGATGATCCATCTCCCGCTGAAGCAGAGGCTTGGCAGCTTGGGGGCTTCCTTTCTTAAAGAGAAATGAGGATCTAGAAACCCCAGACCAGCCCTGCCCTCCCCACCCCTGCCCAGAATGTCCAAAGGATGCCGAGGTGGGGGTCAGAGAACCCACTTGTGAGCACCTGCCATGGGCAGCAGGCCACCTAACTCAACACACATGGCATCCCCATAGCCCCCTCCCATCCCAGGGCCATCTTTCTTGGCCCCTTGTCTGCCATCTTCCCTCCACCACACCCCAAGGAAAGGTGACCCCCCCCCTCAGCAGATGTTCGTGAGAATCTGCTCCCTACTAGCCCCTGCCTACAGGGCTCAGTCCCACCGAGAAGAGGGTGGATACAGAAAATGAGGAGAGTCTAGTCAGAGGCAATGTGTACAAGGGAGAGAAGGCAGGCGGGACAGGTGCCAAGGCCCTGCAGTGGGTGGGATCAGCATGTAGGAGGAACAGCAGGGGACCCCTGGGAGGTGAGGGCTGGGAAGGGGCAGGGGGTGGGGCTCCAGCAGCACTGGGCAGCCTGGGGTGTCTGGGAGTCAGGCATGGATCCCCAGGCATCATTAGCTAATTGGCCTGATTTCAAGAAGTTGATTTAAATTGGTGGGGCTTCAGACAGCTGATTTCCCAGGGAGCCTGCTGACTCCCCAGAACCTCCCCACTGGCCCTGGTCTTAGGGACCTCCACACCATAGGCTCCTGGCTCAGGGCCATGGAGGGCAGCTACTCTGGCCTGTCATGTGCCACCAGTTGTTCCCTGTATCTCAGAGCCTGGGTCACAGGGCAAGTTAAAACTGACACCTGGCCTGGCCCAGATAGAGTGGAAACGAGGCAGTGGCTGGTGCTGTGGAAGTCTGGGGGACAGGCAGAGCACTGGGGTGACTCCAAGGCCAAGGCTGGGGTTGTAGAAAGCTCCAAGCTCCTGGCTGGGGCCCTGGCACCCTGACGTGGGCCTCTCTGTGTGGTCCCTGTGTGGGCAGGTGGTGGGAGCCCCACAGCATGGTAGGTTCAAAGGTCCCAGGGCAAGAGCCAGGAGGACACTGTAGTGTGGTGTAGCCAAGTCCTGGCATAGCTTCTCTGACCTCTGCTGCCACAGCCCAGCCTGTGTTTCAGGGGATGGGCCAAGGACCCCACTCTCTGGAGAGGGCCATCAGCACTTGGTGAGCCAGATACAGGCAGCCAGTGTGGCAGCCTTGGCACATGTGCCTCCACATAGAGCCCATTCAAGCCTCCTTTAGACTCAGGAGGCACAGCATACTTGTCTGGTGAAGACAGGCGTGCACACATATGTAACAGCCAGCATCATTCAGCAGACATTGTGGAGCACCTGCTATGCACAGTCGAGAACAAGGACAAGCCAAGTTCCACCCAAAACAGCAGCAGCTGCAGCTGCTGGGGCCTATCCCAGTGACCTGGTGCGCATGATTCGGCACATGTGCATGGTCCTTCTTGACATCCGTGAGGCCCATATGTGCTTATATTGGCACCTGTGTGTACACCCAGGCAGCCCTGTGGCTTTGGGCCATCCCTCGCCCCTGGAAATGGTTGTGTGGTCCTGGCTCAGCACTTGGTTTTTCTGCCCTCAGTCATCCATTCCTGACAGGGGCATGACCTTGCCTTCTGGGGACCCTAGGTCTGGGGCATACAGGGCTGCATCCAGGTAGGCCTGGTGCTCGGGAGGGCAGAGCTCAAGAGTACCTGGATGGTTGCATACAGCCCACTTGCCAGCTTTGCCCCTGCAGCCAGAAATATCCATGGGTTAAAAGTGAGGTATAGCATGTGGGGGTGGATTTGGGCCTTAATGAAATGGCAGGTGGTAGGGGGGTGGGTAGACATGTGCCATGGAGCCCTGGCTGGCTGCACTGTTCAGCAGACCTGGTAGGAAGGTGCCCACAGTGCCCCTAAGCTGTCGTGAGACCTACGGTCCCCCCACATCCACCCCCAGGAGCAGCCTAGCACTCATGGCCCCCAGCAGCCCCTGAACGGTAGAGCACCTGCTCAGCACTGGCAGCCTACAGCGCAGGCTCTGTTTTTATGAGGCAGGTTTATGACATCCGTTACCATGTTCCTTGGGCCACTTTCCAGCAGCCATGCTTTGTACAAAAGCAATAAAACCCTGTCCACCTCTCCAGGGAGTTGGGTTGATGCACTGTCCTCCTCGCCTCAGAGCATGGACAGTCCTGAGGCTGGCTGCTGGGGAGCAGCCCTGCAGAGGGGTAACAGCACAGGGCAGCGCCACTATCTGAGGGCAGCCCACCTCCTTCCAGAGGGCTTATGGTCCACCCGCTGTCTACCTATCCGCTCCTCCCTCCATCCCTCTGCCCCTCACAGGGCACAGGTGCTCCTGCGTTTGTCCAGTGGGTGTGAATCCAGTGGTTGGTGTAGCCTTCTCAGGCTGGGTGCTCAGTTCCAAACATAGTCCTTGGCCATGCCAAGCTTATGTCCTCAGGGAAGTTTGTGGGGGCCCGCCTTGGGGTCCGTGCTTAGGGGCAGGGGGCAGGCTGCAGTGCCTGGGACATCTAGACCAGCCTTCACTGCTGTCCCAGGTCAGCGGATGTGGCACTAACAGGGATGTAGCCTTGGGGTCTTTCTGAGCTACCCCGGGGGACTGTGGGTAGCACTCTCAGCAGCTGGTCATCAGGTTCCTCCTGAATAGGGTCTGGGTGGTCAATCGCTGTGTATCCCCAGATAGAGTAGGGACAGAGCAGACAATAAATGACAAACAAGTGATCTGCACGGTGCATTCTGGTGGCAGGTGCT